AGGGGGAGGAGGGAGGAGGGGACGGGTATTTGCATACACAAAGAGTGCAATGCGCACCACCCGAAGGATGGACATATTTGAAATTCGGACTTGGGGGCAGGCAAGGGCAACACATGTAACCTAAACATCTGTACCCCCATAATATGCCGAAATAAAAAAAAAAATTAAAAAAAAATTGGTATGTTAAAAGAACCTATAAATTATCTAAAACAGCAGATCTGCAGTCAGAGGGGCCTATATTAAAAGTTTTTTTAATAATAAATTGTGCCTCCACAGCTTATTACATAAGGTGGCAGACTGTTCAAATTTCCTATTTCTTTTTCTGTAAAAAGAATAATTTTACTTCTTCCTACATACCTTATTGTGTTTTTAGGAAATTTAACAAACCTATTGAATAAGTGTACATAAACTCTGTTGACAGAATGTCATAAATACATCATCTGTAAAATGTATGAATATTTATATTTATTTTGGTTTGTATATTGAGAATGATAATATAAATATATAGTTATAAACCCCAACCGTTTATAGTATGATTTGTATTGTGTCTGCTTGTTTGTTTACTTTGGCTTAACTTTATTCCGTAAATTTTGTATGTGGAAGAGAGTATCAGCGAAGAGTTCTACTGCAATAACAAATAACTCCAAAATCTCACTTGCTAAAAACAACAAAAATCTTTCTCCTCCTCATGTTGCAGGCCTCCTCATGTTGCAGGCCCTTGGTGGGTCAGCAGAGGTTTCTGCTAACCATCCTCATTCAGAAACCCAGGCGAATGGATCAGCGACCATCTCAAGCACTGCAAATCCTCATGCCAGAGGGAAAGAGAGGACGGCAAATCTTCCACTGCCTCATAAGGCTTCTGCTCACATGTCATATTTTTTGACCAAAGCCAGTCTCATACTCAGGAGGACTTCAATAATACTAAAAATATATTTTTAAGTCAGGAAGCATTTAAAACTTATGTGTAGACTATCATAAGCCATTATAGATTTTGAGCAGAACATTGATATAAGAACACAGAAAGTGGTTCCCCTGCCTACTCCCAACAGCTGAAAGTAAAATGAATAATTGTATATCCATATTGACTAGAAAGGTACATCTAATTAAGTGAAAAGGAATCTACAGGAAATAAGGAATAGAAATCAAGGAATTATAGGAAAGATAGATAATTTAGAAGCTCATCTAAATTGTTCCCCTACAAGTATCTAAAGAATGAAAAAACAAACACCACATGTACTCACGATTAAATTGGAACTAACTGGTGAGAGCACATGTGCATAGAATGGAAATCAATGGGAGGGAGGAGTAGGGAGGAGGGGATGGGCGAAAACCTACCTAACGGGTACAATGAACACTAACTGGGTGATGGGTACACTTATAACATTGACTCAAGCATTACAAAAGCAACCCTTGTAACCAAAACATTTGTACCCCCATAATACTTTGAAATTAAAAAAAAAAAACATAATCATCACACTTAGTCATCACTAGCAGAAGCAAGTAATCTAATTTAATTTTAATTAAAAAAAAAAAAATGCCTTCACTTGGCCCCTGAAGAGCTTCAGTACATTCTACCAGGAGATTTTTTATTTTTTAATTTTGCCCCAGCTGGTGAGCTGATGAGACTATCAGGCTTAGGAACTGATGGGCCTTGTAATTGCTTTCCACACTCATGTAACCACAGCTGCAGTCTTCATTCATAAATTGCAAAACTAATCCTTTAAAAGTTTTCATATTGGCCGTTTGCTTCAAAACATCCAGTGCCAATGAGTCTGCAGATGTAGCATCACGAGAAAAGAAGGGTCTCTGACCACTGGTCCAAGCACTAGGCTGGCTGTAGTGAATTCTTGGTTTTCATTCTCAAAAATCTTCTGTTTTGTTATGGTTCCCTGGGAAATCACTTCATTCATCAACACCTTCATTTCTCTGTGAGGTGACTAGTGAAGCTTATTATTTATTTGTAAAGTACTGCTAGAGGTTTACATGAACTATAAATTTTTTTCAATCGTAATTCTATACATGTATTCAACAACTTTAAATCAAATAAACTTTAAATATACTCTTTTGCTTTATAATGGTAGCTAACTAAGTTGGAAAATCTTGAGAAAGACAGGAAAATATGTGTTGGAAGACCAAATCTAGCTGGAGTTTATTAAAGATTGGTATATATATAAGTCCACAATAATTTTTGGCACTTGTTCTATATAGTAAAAAATATTAGAGAAATGAAAAATCATTGGTTCAAGTATATAGTTAAAGTGATTTTCTGTATTTGAGAGATATTTCATATGCTTAAAAATATCTTAATTTTCCATTATACAATTTGTCATTTTTCACCTCAAAATATAAAAACATTTGTAAAACTGCATGAATTTTGTTGTTTTTGGTTTGAAAAATAAGTAGATATCCCTGTTATTAATAGTTTCTGTTCTATTTACTTCCACTAATGATATTACCACTTGAGGTTTTAATAATTTTGCAGAATGCAAGTCCCTTAACATCAATAATGTTTTAAGATATCAGACCTCCCCGTGCTTTATTACTTTAAGATAACAACAAAAATCACTGTACCTAAACTTTTCTAAAGTAAATATAACTGGAAGAGTTTTCTCAAGAACAAAAATTTATTTTTGAGATAAAGTTATTTTCTTTGCCTCCCAAGATTTTCAATTTGGAGTAGAATTGTCCAAGTATTACAACAAATTTTTGAAAAGATACACATCTTTTTAACAAAAAGAGGCACGGATTAGCTTTCCTATGTTCTTTTTCTTTCTTTTTGCTTTTCTTTCTTTCTTTTTCTTTCTTTTTTTTTCTTTCTTTTTTTTTGTTACATGGCTGGGCACAATAGATAAAGTTTTTTGTGATTGTAAAATAATTTTTATTTTTGGCTGTAGATTGTAAGTGTGGGTAAACAAGAGTAGTCTGAAAGATACTAATTTTAATCTTAATTACTTTAAAAGCATGCTAGGCTTACTCAGCAGTATAATGACAATCTTATCAACATAAGTAGAACAGTGGTTCTGTCTCATGTTATTGGTGAAATATAAGGCTAGTCAGAAATATTTCTGAAATTAAAAAAGAGAAATTCTTTCTATCCATATCCTACTCTCTTATTTGTAATCATTAGGGGAAAATATTGGATATGAGAAAAATACCTATGGTACAAATAATCTTGGAGACTTTAGGGAGCTCTCTATATAAAGAAAACTGTAAGTAATCAAAAAGACAGACAAGCAATGGCAAGGATGCGGAGCAACTGGAACAGTGTTGGTGGGAATGTAAAACGGCGTAGCCATTCTAAAGACAGTTTTGCATTACCTCAAAAATGTAAACATAGTGTCAATATATGAGCCAGCAATTCCACTCATAGGTATAAATCCCAAAGAAATTAAAACACATATTCATACAAAAATTTGCAAGTAGATATTCAAGCAGCATTATTCATAATAATCAAAATGTAGAAACCACCATGTCCAAATGTCCATCAACTGATGAATGGTTAAACAACTGTGGTATATCCATACAATGGAATATTTTCAGCTGTAAAAAGGAATGACTACTGATATATGTTACAACCTTGATAAACCCTGCAAACATTATGCCAAGTGAAAAATGCCTGATGCAAAAAGAACACAGACTTTTTGATTCCATTTATATGGAATATCCAGAATAGACAAAAAGTAGAGACAAGTAATCTATTAGTAGTAGATTAATGTTTTCTAGAGGTTGGGGGACAAGAGAAAGGGGAGTGTGACTCTTATGGGGTACAGGAGTTTTTGTGGCAATAAAAATTCTCTAGAATTAGGTAACGGTGATGGTTGCATAATTCTGTCATTATATTAAAAATACTGAGTTGCATGTGAATTTTATGGCATATAAATTGTATTTCAATAAAAAAGAACATTTTTAAAAAAGAAAAATGCAGCATAAAATTAAGTTTCTGCTCTAACATTCAAGTAAAGAAAGTCTTTCTACTCTTCTTCTTTCTTGAACAAAATTTGTAATAACTTCAATTACCAGTTCTTCCCAAAGCACATTTCATATTATTAACTTTGCTATTCTCATGGGAGAGATGAAATTGTATTTCTTATTTTGATAAATCAAAAAGAATGGAACCAGTGTTCCTCTAGATGAAGTTTTCCTTCTCCTCCAATTTGTACTGATCTCATACCAAGAACACACCTGAGGCTACATGCCTTCTAAAACAACAAAATCTTGTTCATAGCTACGTGTCTATACAATGCTTTTTCAAAAGCCAACAGTCTCCTCAAAGTAATATATTGAGAAAGTTTCATAAATGTCAGTGGACAATTAGATGATCTCATTTAGAAAGTTTTAAGCAAACATCCAAACTTCTTTTAATGTATCATTGAACTGAATCGAACTGAACTGAAATTGAACATACCCTAAAGCTAAAGCAGCCTGACAGAGTGAGTGAGTGAGTAAGTGACTGAGTGTGTATGTGTGTAACAGAGACAGAGAGAGAAAGAGATTTCTTCATGTGCTTACACTCATGGAAATTGGATTTATTATTAGTTCTGAAAAGACTAATAATCCCTCATTCAGGCATCGCAGCTATTTTTTAAATGAGATATACGTGAACTGAATTCATTTGAATCATATGATTAGGAGACAGTGACAAGTCCTGAGAGAGACCTCACTTACCCCTTCCAGAGCAAGGCAAATTAGAGCTTCCCTGACACTTCTTGAGACTCTCCTCAGCCGACAGTGGGCAGGATCGTGGGTGCTCACACTTTTTTCCATACCAGCCTGCTTTGCAGTCACATCTTCCACAGTTACACTGCCCATGACCTTCACAATGAGAGGAGTAAAAAATAAAAATGTATGCAAAGATAATGAAGTCAGAATTAGTTTTCATTCTAACAGTGAATGTCACAAATGAGTTAGGACCTTAATTAACAAAATACAAAACATGCAGGCAAAGGCACATTTCTCCCAAATTCTTAAACAACTGATATACATTAATTGATTATGGGGGGGGGGAGTAAAGAAATGCAACAACTAAAGATAAGCAGTTTAGTAGGGCTGTAAACACGAATCTATCAAAATCCAGATGCAGGTGATTTTATTGGTCTCCTGGGGCCCAAAAGGAGTATTTGATGGATTTGACAATTAATTCCCATGGAGGGGAGCCATGGGAAAAGGAAAACTATTTTTGAAGCAAGATTTTTTTAATGAACCATTCAACTGATCTTTATTTATGGAGGTCTCACATCACAGAAAAATTAGGAACCACGAAATGACAAAAAGCAATGAAATCTAGAATTTGAAAAGAGGTCTTTTCCCAGCTTTATTGAGGTATAACTGACAAATAAAAATCATATATGTTTAAGGTATACGACATCATGTTTTGATATACATATGCATTGTGAAATGATTACCATAATCAAGCTAATAAACACATGCATCACCTCACATAGTTATCTCTGTGTGTGCGTGTGTGTGTGTGTGTGCACGTGTCTGTATGGTGAGAATACCTAAGATCTACCCTTCTCATGAATTTCAAGGATGTAATACATTAAATATAGTCACCAGGCTGTACAGTAAGTCCCCAGAACTTATTCGTCTTATAATTCTGAAGGTTTGTATGCTTGACCAAGATCTCCACATTTCCCCTACCCATCTGTCCCTGGTATATCAATCCTTCTCTCTGTTTCTCTGAGGTTGACTTTTTTAGATTTTACATATTAGTGAGAATATGCAGTATTTGTCTACATCTGGCTTATTCCATTTAACGTAATGTCCTCCAGGTTCATCCATGTTGTGATAAATGAAGGGATTTCCTTCATTTTTAAGGATGAATAATATCCCATCCTGTATATCTGTCACATTTTCTTTATCCATATTCATCTTTCAGCAGTAACTTAGGTTGTTTCCATATCTTTACTAGAATAAATAATCCGTCAATGGACATAGGAGTGCAGAGATCTCTTTGAGACAGTGATTTTATGTCCTTTGGATACATACCCAGAAATTACTAGACCATACGATAGTTTTATTTTCAATTTTTTGAGGAAACTCCATAATAGCTATACCAATTTATATCCTCACCAACAATTTGTAAGTTTTCTCTTTTCTCCGCATCCTCACCAACACTTATCTTTTCACTTTTTGATAAAAGCCATCCTAACAGGTGTTGTGAAATGATATTTCATTGTGGATTTTATTTGCATTTCTTTGATGATTAATGATGTTGAGTACTGTTTCATATACCCATTGGCCACTTGCATAGCTTCTTTCGAAAAATGTCTATTCAGGTACTTTACCCATTTTTAATCTGGTTATTTGATTTTTTTGCTATTGAGTTGTATGAGTTCTTTATATATTAATATTTTGGATATTACAGATACATGGTTTGCAAATATTTTCTCCCATTTCATAAGTTGCCTTTTCGTTTTGTTGATTATTTCCTTTGTTGCTGCAGAAACTTTTTAGTTCAACGCTGTCCCATTTCTTTACTTTTACTTTTGTTGTCTGTGCTTCTAGTGACATATCCCAGATACCATTGCCAGTACCAATTATGTGGAGATTTTCTCCTGTTTTCTTCTGGAGGTTTTGTAATTTCAGGTTTTGCATTGAAGTCTTTAATCCATTTTGAGTTGATTTTTGCATATGGTGTGAATCTAATTTCGTTCTTCTGCATGTGGACATCCAGTAGTCCCAACACTATTTATCAACACTATTTATTGAAGAGATTGACCTTTCCCCATTTTGTGTTCTTGTTGTCTATGTCTGAAATCAATTGACTGTAAATGTGCGGGTTTATTTATGGGCTATCTATTATGTTCTATTGGTCCATGTCTCTGTTTTTATGTCAGTACTATAGTGTTTTGATTACTATAGTTCTACAATATAATTCGAAGTCAGAAAGTGGGATGACTTCAGCTTTGCTCTTGCTCAAGATTGCTTTAGCTATTCAGGGTCATTTGTGGTTCCAGACGAATTTTAGGATATTTTTATTTCTGTAAAAAATGCCATAGGACTTTTTCATTTTTTAAAATCGACACATTGTACATACTTATGGGGTACAATTTGATGTTTTGATACATACATAGGTTGTATAATGATCAGTTTAGGGATTTTAGTGTGACCATTACCTCATGCAGTTATCATTTCCTTGTAATGAGGACATTCAAAAGCCATCTTCTAGCTATTTTGGAACATACCGTATCTTACTGTTAACCATCTGCACTCACATTCAGGTGTTCAACGGAACACCTGAATTATTCCGTGTATCTAATTGTAACTTTGCACCCATTTACCAACCTCTCCCTATCTTACCCTCTTTCCTCCCTTCCCCAGTCTCTGGTAACCACAGTTCTACTCTCTGCTTCTACGATGTCAATTCTTTTTCTGTTTTGTTTTGTTTTTCAGATTCCACATGTGAGCAAGATCATGCAGTATTTGCCTTTATGTATCTGGCTTATTTCTCTTAACGTGATGTCCTCCATGTCCACCCATGTTGTTGCAAATGACAGAATTTAATTCTTTTTTGTGGCTGAATTCTTTTTGGAATTCAGTGTGTATATGGACCATATTTTTTTATCCATTCATCTATTGTTAGACACTTAAGTTGATTTCATATCTTGGCTACTATAAATAGTACTACAATAAACATGGGAGTGCAGATATATCTTTGACATACTCATTTAATTTCTTCTGGGTATATGCCCAATAGTGGAATTGCTACATCATATAGTAGTTCTATTTTTAATTCTTTTGAATTAAAGAATTTGAATGTTTTCTTTTGAGAGATGTCTATTAATGTCTTTTGCCCATTTTTAATAGGGTTATTTATTTATTTTGCTTTGAGTTAAGTTCCCTGTATATTCTTGCTATTAACCCCTTGTCAGATGTATAGTTTGCAAATATTTTCCCTTATTCTGTAGGCTGATTTTTCATTCAATTAATTGTTTCCTTTGTTGTGCAAAAGCTTTTTGGTTTGACGTAGTGCCATTTGTTTATTTCTGTTGCTTGTGCTTTTGAAGTCTTATTTTTAAAAATCCTTACCCATATTCACTGAAGTTAAGTGATACCTCATTGTGGTTTTGATTTCCATTTCCCTGATGATTAGAGATGTTGAGCATTTTTTCATATGTTTGTTGGACATTAGTCTGC